ACCATCCAAAAGACAAACAACCACAAATGTTGGCAAGGTTGTGGAAAAAGGGGAACCCTCCTACACTGCTGGTGGGAATGTAAATTAGTTCAACCATTATGGAAAGCAGTATGGAGGTTCCTCAAAAAGCCCAAAATAGAAATACCATTTGACCCAGGAATTCCACTTCTAGGAATTTACCCTAAGAATGCAGCAGCCCAGTTTGAAAAAGACAGATGCACCCCTATGTTTATCGCTGTACTATTTACAATAGTCAAGATATGGAAGCAACCTAAATGTCCATCAGTAGATGAATGGATAAAGAAGATGTGGTACATATACACAATGGTATATTATTCAGCCATAAGAAGAAAACAAATCCTACCATTTGCAACAACACGGATGGAGCTAGAGGGTATTAATGCTCAATGAATATAAGCCAGGCAGAGAAAGACAAGTACCAAATGATTTCACTCATATGTGGAGTATAAGAACAAAAGAAAACTGAAGGAACAAAACAGCAGCAGAACCACAGAGCCTTACGATTAGCATGTAAAATATGGAGGGGGTGCATAGGGAAGGATGTGCAACACAGAGAAGACAAGTAGTGATTCTACAGCATCTTACTACACTGATGGACAGTGACTGTAATGGGCTTTTAGGGGGGACTTAGTGAATGGGGGAGTCTAGTAAACATAATGTTCTTCATGTAATTGTAGATTAATGATGACAAATGAATTTTTAAAAAATTCCAATGAAGTACCTCTATGAAGCTACTAGGTGGCCAAAATTTAAAACACTGACAATTTTAAATGTTGTCTAGGATGTGAAGCAACAGGAGTTCTTACACATTATGTTGAAAGTACAAAATGGCACAACACTGTAGAAAACTGACTGATTGTTTCTTAAAATGTTAATTATGTTAGCTGTACTCAATAAAGCTATTATCCTCCCCCCACTCACCTCTGCCCCCAAACAAAGAGAATATACAGGAACATGGAGAAAAAAACAAACAAACACCAAACTCAAGATCATCTAAGTTCTAATATATATTATATATATTTCCTTGGTGATCTAGTATAGTTTTGCTTTAACCCACTTAGCCTGGGCTTCCTTATTTGTAAGATAAGGCAAATAATAGGCTGTATCTCATAATCTCATTGTGAAAACTAAACTAGATAGATAATCTGTGCAATGTGCTTGCACAAATCCTGGCATACCAGAAACCCGGCATCAATATTAGCTATTAATATACACTCCTGGGGCTCTCAATAGAACATCTGCCTAGTGGCCAATAGACTGGGTCTGTTTCTTCTTAGATAGCCAAACAACAATGTGTATGTATTCATTAATAAGGCAACCATTTTTGTCATTACAAAAAAATGCAGAAGTTTCCAAATCATGGCTGAGACACATTCACAAGGACAAGCAACACCAGGTCTTCCTCTTCTCCATGATTCCTACTCTCTTTGCAGGATCAATGTTGCATATTTACTTCCACCAAAAAATAAATAAAATAATAAATATCTAAAATAATAGATAAAACACTTTCCCCAAAACCCTCAAAACAGTTTAATCAAATTCATATTTTCAAAAGAAACTTTCCTAAATACTACAACAAAAAAGACAACAAATTCAAATGCTATAAACATGTGCATGAATGTATGTGTGTGCACACATTTGTGTATGTCTGGTTTACTTTTCTCTGAGCTAATACCTTTGGTTTTATTAATTCACTTCCCTAATAGGCTTTTTGCATTTTTCTTATGATTGTTTATTTGTTTGACTTTTTGTTGAGTATGTATTTTTGTAAGGCATTTTAAATACTTAGTAGAAAAAAAGGGGCCAGGTATAAAACAAACCAAATAGAAGATAGTTAATACATAGATGATAGAATGCTAGATGATGATGATAGATAGAAAGAAAATAACTTTCCATAATTTTTGAAACTCAAATAACTGCCTCCAAACTGAGAGAAATGACAACTTCCTTCCCAGCTTCTTCACTCCACCTGGTGACACCATCTTTTTCCCTGCCACACAGGATTCCATGAATGGCTTGTCTTGCTCTCTTCTCTTCCACTACCTTTCCCAGGACTTTAAGCATTGTAGTGACTGATATGTTCAAAGCCTTTATGCTCCCTGGCTCAAATGATCAGTTCTTTCTACTTTTAGATCACTTTTTAATTAAACTAACCACCTCTGGAAAGGTGTTACCCATCACAGAGTCAGAGTACCATCATCCCTTTACATTACCTTCACGTAAGACACATTTCTACATAGCTACATCAGAAGGCAATTATGGCCGTAACAGAAGGCTTTCTGATGCTGTCATATTCATTTCCAGATCTCCCTTCATGCTTCATAAAAGGCATTAAGAAGTACTCAAGTAATACTTGTTGAGTTGAACTAAACTGAAAACACTTATATCCTTTTCTCATATATTAGATTTTGAGTGACAGAATTTAACAGGGGAATGGACATATTGCATCTTTATCACTTTGTTAGAAATCAAGTTAGATGTACATATTGGTTATTAATTTATCTTACTATTAAAGAGTTGACATGGGTAAGAATGAACTAAACAGACTGCTGTATTGATTTCTCTAGGGATTCAAGGATATTTCCCTCGAGAGGTTTGTACATGGAGGGGCCAATGTCACAGGGTTCCAGTTAGTAGATTTCAGTACACCTATGGTGACCAAGCTCATGGATCGCTGGAAGAAACTAGATCAGAGGGAGTATCCAGGATCTGAGACTCCTCCGAAGGTATTTGCTTTTGTCCTGTGTGATTCTAAAATTTGAAGTAGAATATTCATTATGCAGTTCTTCTATAAAATATTAGTAATTCTTCTACTAATATTTTGTCAGATGTAATGAGGGATAGGGTTGAATGACTTTGTCACTATCACTGCATTGCATGAGAACTTAATCATTTTGAAATTTCTGTATTTAAAAGCAGAGTTACTAGGCATTAGCTCAAGTAGTTTACTATTATTATTATTTTGAAGAAATTATATACTATTTAAAAATTGTTTGTTAATTAAGTATTTAAAATGTGAAAGACCGTTGTAACTGTTCCACCCACATAAAAACCAGGTTTGAAAAGTTATTTATAAATAGGTAAATTGGAAAACTGGTAGAAATGTAAAATATCCAGGCTCCTCCAGAGTTCCTCTTCCAAATTAACAGTGAAAGGTTGAGTTGTTTAATTTTTTCTGACAGACGTTGCTGAAATATGTTAATGGTATTTCCAAAAGAAGCTGGTAAATTTCTGGTTATAAACACACTTTCCTCACTTGAAATGATAGATTCCTTCCTTAGATATCATGGAAATAATGGCATAACATTTCTTAAACTCTGACTTAGTGCTTTTGAGCTCCTACTTATAAGCATCATTTTTTTTTTGGTATCATTAGTCTACAGTTACATGAAGGACATTATGTTTACTAGGCTCCCCCCTTCACCAAGTCCCCCCAACAAAGCCCTTCACAGTCACTGTCCATCTGCATAGTAAGATGCTGTAAAATCACTATTTGTCTTCTCTGTGTTGTACAGCCCTCCCTGTGCCCCCACACACACTATACATGCTTATCGTAAGGCCCCATTTCTATTTCCCCGCCCTTATCCCTCCCTTCCCACCCATCCTCCCCAGTCCCTTTCCCTTTGGTAACTATTAGTCCATTCTTGGGTTCTGTGATTCTGCTGCTGTTTTGTTCCTT